TCAGAGGCGTCGATGCCTTCTCCCAATGCTGTTTACTCATCCCCAAAGAGGTCTACGAGCGTGAAAACTTTTCAGTCCATGAGACCATATGTTGCTAAAAAGACCAGATTTTAGATCAATAAATAAAGTTTTAACGGTTTTTTCGTTTGATTCGCGAAAATCCATGGACGATCAATCAATATAAATACACTCAGTCTGAAACTTACCTTTAGCTGGTCCCTTCGCTCCCTTTGACAAGAGACCTGGTCACTAAATATTTGTAAGCCCTCAGAAGCCGACTTCCTCAAGCGCAAGGTCCTGCGTGACGTCCCGTCACAAATACAGTGACACCAACATGCTGCTTAGATCGCGATCGCTTAGGTAGTCAGTCACCAATAGGGTATTTGAATTTATAGCGATGTGCTTTTTTATTAATTAAACTCAAAAGTCTGATGTACTCAATCTTGTCGAGCGCTTGTCACCCGAAGACGCCGTGAAGCTTTTGAAGAGAACAGGTTCTTGAACCACCTTTTAACTCTCTGCAGTAGACTATTGTTGTAGTACTTCGTCACGGTAACAGTCCCACCTCGAGTAGCAGTGTCAGTCGGCAAATGTCCTGCCACTAAAGCATTTGAGCTTACGACAGAGCTGGCGCCTTGCCTTCGATTCTGTCCCGCACGCGCTTCTCGCATCGAGGAGAGGCCGGTTGATTTATCCTCAAGAGCAAAGACACCATTACTGCCAAGGACAACAACCACAGTAGCCATCATAGTTGCCAACACGAGACGATGTATCATTCTTGAGGTCGTAACGAAGTCAAATGGGTGGATATCCTGCTAGAAGTTCGATGAGCCCAATTTTTTTTAGTACCGGTAGGGAGAATGCAGTTGATACAAGGATCGTGAATTGAGATTGGCCACCTTGAATTCCAGAAACATACGTTGCAGCCAGCAACGTATACAATACTACTGAGTATACATATCGAATGGACAGTAAAGTTTATTTAAAAAAAAACTTTTGAGGGATCAATTACAGGTGCCCAAACGACTAGATTGACTACACAGCCACTTCTGTGGCTTAAAGTGAAATTTACAAGCGTTGCTCTGAAATCGCCTTGACAGACTTTAATCCTCGCCTGTAAATCGCCAGCAACATCGTTGCTCGCCGTATAAGCTACAAGAGTCTTCTAGAACGCTACGATCAAAGCTCTTGGCGTCAACATACCTGGTACTCAAAACAGTCTTAATCACGATCCGTTGCCGTTATTGTCGAAGGTGAGTTGTAGTCGAGGTACTGATCGTGGTGGGGACCTGATGACCCCAGAGTTGTTTCCACCAGCGCACGAGCCTTTGGAAAAGTCCGTTGTTGTTGAAAATCGATATCGTGATGGTGCCACCTCCGTTGCCGTTGCTGGACGACACGATGGTTCCTCCTGCCCCTGCACGGCCACCTTCGCCCGACGTGACAGCGCTAGACGAGCTCGCTCTTTCCTCGTTGGAAATCAGCTTCAACCACCACCTCTTGATTCTTTGCCAAAGTCCATTGTTGTTGTAGACTGTCACCGTCACAGTGCCTCCATCGTTGTTATTGTTGGAAAGAATTGTACCGCCAGCTCCAACACGGCCTCCTTCTGCAGCCGCCTTGGCAGCCGCGCTTACTCTCTCTTCCTTTGTTAATTTTTCCTCATTGTAGACTTCCTCGAACGACAGTAAACTGCGCGTATTGCCAGCTGAAGCAGTAGTGAAACACTCGCTACTTGCTACCAGAGCCACGATGGCAGCCAACAGGAGCTGGTACAGAAGCATTTCCAGATGGAGAGGGTTCCCCGACGGCCGCAAATACTGAAATGACGAGCTATGCTGCGGAAACAGCTCTTGGTGTTCTTGTACGGTAGCGGTACTGCTGTTATTATAGTTTAAGGTCAACCATATGGGAGATAGCCCATCTCAGATAGTACAGCCGTTGAGGACTCGACTGGAGATTCTCCGCGATTGGCGAGGTTCATGGCTACACCAGGAATTGGTATTTTATTACCTAATCTAACATACGAAGTCGTGCTTCGCCCGAAGAAGTTTTAAAATTTACATCGTTTTTTTTTTAATGTTAACGAGTCCCTACCCCAGTAGATAGATATAAATACCCGGGTTATTAGTTTATGGAAATTGAAACACCAACTGAAATAAATTTCAGAAAAGAACTTATTAAAATACTTCCGTCCCCACTGGGGACATCCCAGGGAAATGTCGAGGTGCATCAGAAAGTACTTGACCGAACACTCGGTGGGTGACAATTTAAAAGGACAGACTTCTTCGGATGTGGCCCAAAAGTGATTTTCCTACAGTAAATCACCTCAAAATAATCATTTTTTGTGATTTTATATTCCTTATTACAAAGGAGAGGTGAAAGGTAAAATTTTGTTAACTGCTAGACCTCAAGATTTTTAGCTTCCGTGACTATTGAGATGGCCTTTGTGGCGACAATGTAACACGTCTAGCAAGTTGTTATAGTTCGGGGTGGGTGGCATGATGCTGGCAAATCTGCAAACGCTAGAACTTAAGTTTGACTGGCATCTTGATGGAACTAGCTCAATTCAAGAGTGAGGGGGAATCCGGGAGGTCCGCTATGGTAGCGTGCGAATGCTGTTGGCTTGTTTGGCTGTTGGCTTTTTATAAGTAAGTCATTTGTTGACTTAGCCACCCCATGATAGGAAACCCCTGTATAGGCATAGCATGTCTGTTTCCGGCGCTATGACTACGCAAGGGTTCATCTGTAACTAGAATTGTGTGAAATGAGATTAATTACATGTAGATGTTGGCTAAAAGGAGATACATGTATTCGGATAGTTGGCGCGTGTGTAGCATAGAGAAAAACAAGCTCATGTGAAAATTCTGTCGACATGCTATTCCTGTTGGAGGGTATTCCAAAAGTAGGGATTACTTCCGAAGGGCGTTCCTGTATCGGTAAGCAGAAACGACATGGATACATGTAGCAGAACATGTTGCCCACTTGAAGCAAAATTTTCACAGGAAGTTTTCAGATCGTTATTTTTCAAGAGAGCTTTGAACACACTGCTGTACAGAAAGTGTCCATGAAAGTGCTCGTTGACTCGAAACACAGGAAAATTTTGAACCTTCCTGGTATAGCTGCTGTACCACCGGTTGGTACATGCACGGTAGCTCGACTGGAAATACATCAACTATTACGCATGAATGTGAGCTTCAACTCGATCTCAGGTCAGGGGAAATGCCACTTTCGTTCAGTTTTGTGAGACCCTTCACAATTTGGCCCATATTTTAGGCAATAAGTGTCCAATAAGGTCCTAACTACAAGGAAATCGTTCAAGCATAACATCTGCTTATATTAGTAACAGGCGCTCAAGGTGCGCAAAATTTTCAGTTTGCGAGACGATTATTTGGGAAGTTATTTAGAAGTAAAAACGAAAAAGTCATGACTTGGTCATGACCTTGGACCTGGTACGTTGAAATACCAGCGTTTTATCCTAATTACTAAGTAAGAAAGTGGATACAGGTCCAGAGTATTCCGAGTTGCGAATTTAGGAAGAGGCGCATATGCCCCCGGCCGCATGGTGAAGTTTTGAGGCTGATATCTACATAATATCATACGTACTTATAGAATCTATTCGCAAGTCGTCATCTTCTACGATTTTAAAAGTAAGCTGACGCCGTGTTCACTAACAAAGCATGGCTAAAGCAAATTTTCGACTAGATACCAGAAAAAAGGATAAGTCACAAATCTCGGGTCAGGCAGTGAAATCCGACCACTATCTGAACACCATCCCTCATATAAAATAAAAGTATTTCAGCCGACAGGATTACACGCCCAAAGATTAAATTGGCCAAAAGCCCGATGTATTTGACATTGGAGGGCTAAAATACCGTTTATGCAGGTTAAAACCAGCTCATTAAAACCAAATTAAACTTCAACTTTCGGGTGTTTAGGTATAACTTTCTTAAAACTTTTAATGATAAGAACGCTTGACAGCTCCTCCAATGCTCGGATAACTCGCTCAATGGTAGCTCTTCTCTTCTCTGGAGCAAGTGACTGACGTTGCTCCTCGTTGCCCTCGCCGCACACGCACACCTCGTCGCATTTGCACTCCACAATGCAAATGCACCCATCAGTGCAAAGGCACTCTTCTCTACGAGGGCATTCCTCGATGCAGACACACTCCACATCGCATGAGCACTCTTCTACCCAATTACACCCCCCCACCGGACTTTCCTCTATAACCGAGACATCGACGCTGGACTCAGCCATCCAGTGGGCTGTAATTCGCTTTGGGGGGGGGGGTCCCATGACACCCACATCTAATGACTGGCCTACAGCCGTGCTATTGGCAAGAAGTGCGCACGCGAACGCAAACGTTGTTTCCGAGATGACTTCGATGCCATCATCGGACACGTGAGCATCAAAATTGTCCAGCAGAATGACGGACGGGGCGTCCACTTCAAACTGTACTAATTCCTTCTCGTAGTGTTTCCAAACCCTAGCATCCATCTATTCACTCTCCTGAACAGCATAAACGTGTTGTGGAGGGTATGTTTTCAGTGCTTGTTTTTTCAGACGCCCGCCGGGTTTACCTCTAGTAATAAACAGTATTAGAAGTTTTTTTCCTTCAGTAACACTTACATTTATTAGTGTCAGCGATTAAAATTAGTAATAAACAATGCAGCACTAACCGTCTGTTCGAATCGTTACCACAGCAGTCAAGCGCCCCGAGTGTTTTTGCGTTCTCTTCACCTTCGCCTATCCCTTTCGCCCTTTTAAAAACCTAAATTCTAAGTGACGGCATGTCGTAATAGATAGCTGTCTCGTCAACATTATAAATTGGTGGCGCTGGAAAAGACCCATAATTCTTCCAAAACTCACGGCAAACTGCCAGTGGATTTCTTGTATGGACTCTGTGTTTTTCTTGGTATATTGAGGTTTCTGACATGTTAATCCATGACAAAACAGAACTTAATAAATTAATACTGATACCAAGGTACCAGCTTAGTAGAAAAAACTTTACCGCTTTGCGAAACGCTGGCATAACTTCATTAGAGATGTAAGTCCCTGTCCTTCCCGGCTAAAGAACCCTTTAACCATTGCGCCTGATGGAACTTCATGTATTGGATCATCAAACCTGTACACAAATACTAGCCCAGGAAAACATACATATTAGAAGTAAGTCAAAATTAAAAGAAACCTAGGTTTTACCTGTTCTTTTCTTCTGACATCGTTCATGGACGTGGCCAAATCGTGTGTGAAGGGCGTAATGCTCCGTGCACCTTGGCCCTTGAGCGTCTTGCTTGTTTGTGCCCCCTCGAACTCCTGTATACTGCACTTGTTATCCACCCAGTTCCGAGGGGTGCGCCGAGAAATGGCAAACTTCGTTGACGCAGCTCTCTCGCCTAAAGATTCGGCGGGCTGCGATGCCTTCGCGTTTAATGCGTATAGTGTACGAGCGCTGGGGGGGGGGGGCGTTGTCGAGCTGATGTCCTACTGCATTGTGCGGACGCAATGGCGGCGACGAGCTTCTAGCATCCAACCAAACTTTTCAAACTATGTCATTGGTTAAAATATATAAACAAGAGTTTGAAACATATATTTGGGATGGGCGTGCTCTTAGGGTATGGCGGATTACACCGTCGTTGTCTGTAGAATGGACGCCCTGATACTCCATAAAGTAAAAGGTGATCGACAGTGAAATACCGTCGATTTGAGAGAGATGTTTCACTTAGTGTTTCGGCACAAGTCGCTCAGGCTACTTACCGCTGGCGCGAATCGGACCGCGTGGGCCGAGAAGAGGGGGGGGGGGGGCTCGAAGTGTCAAGCCGGTAGTGAGCGACCGTCTCGGCGTGTGCTCAAAACCGACACCAAGCCGCGTCAGAATGGCGACCGCTCGCGCACGAGATCTTACAACCATAATTAAAATCGGGGTCTTTACAGCACAAATAGCTGGAGGGCGTCAAGCAGCAGAAGCAGACTATAATGTGAAAGTTTAACTCACCCAGCATGGCCCTGTCTTCCTGTCTATTTGTCACCGTACAACGTTATCCTGAATCAAAAACGTCCAGCAACCTTAGAAGTATCGTTAAGTATGTGAACTCTCTTTACAGATCGTCTCGTCACCGTATTGACTCCACTTCTGCGTGCGGCGGGCTATCTCTCCGCTCCTACATGTACTGTTGCTCTCTCGACTCTAATCAAGCTATCGTTAACTAGCTATAATTCGAGGAGGATCTCTTGACCCACCAAAAGCAATGGTCAAACTGGAAATCTCAATGTGCAGGGCTCCATAGTTACGGCTGATCTCCCGACACCCATTCCTCGAACTCCGGACTTGGTAGTAACTACATAACTGTATAGCTACGTGCTACTCATAAAATATTAACATTCCTAATGTATAAATTACCGCAAAAATTCGCGCAAATGTTAAGTTTGCAATTAAAGGTGCGCAAAATTACAGCGTGAATTAAAAAGCTATCAGCTAAGGCAGAAACAAAACATTTGATTAGTGCACCGTAAGACGCTCTAAAGTTAATGCTTTAAAAAGGTGCAGGAACGCGATTTGTCCAATTGAAGGCGTAAAAGGGCACAGCTGCAGTGCGCAAAGAAATCGTCTTTTAGAAAGAGCTAGACCGTATGCCTTCTATGGACTAGTGTATGATGCCACGGTTACAAAGCTGTACGGCGTGAGTGTGCGGCAAGACCTTACATGGAGCATGGAGATTTGAAATTCTTATTACCCGCATCGTTTGCAAAATTCTGGGAGCACACTGGGCTTTAGGACTATCATGGCTGTGAGCTTGAGGGTCTTGAAGATGAGAACTCCATCACAGATGCGCTTGCCGTAACGCAAGCGGAAGTTAATAATGAAAATTATATCTGAATTTTTAAAACAGAAGTCAGTAGTGTGGCCAAAGACGAAATCAATAGTACTACTAATAGCAGTGCTAATGACGCCAATAAGAGCACCTCCAACGGTAGTGGCAACATTATTATGCATCTGACAGCATACTTACTTTGTCCTATTATCCTGGTAGTGCTTCAGAATGAAGTACGTAATAATACAGTCCAAACGGCTTTCATTCGCCAGGGAAAATGTGTGTCATACACCACGCAAAGGTATATATTACAGACGACCACGGAAAAATACGCCAGCACTGACCAGTATCCTCCATAGTATACTAGATGCTTCGGAAAAATACGCCATAGTTATGAAAGGATATAATGACCACGAGAAATTTGCAAATTTAAAAGAAGGAACGTATTTTTACACAGAAAGACTACAATGATTGCCAAGACGGTACAAAACCCAAACACTTCAGAAATACCATCTTAAAACTACACTTACTCAAAATATGCATGTACTTTGTCTTGTGGACAAAGGAAGCTCTACGCAACAAATATTACAGAAGTGCAGCTGTAACACCGTCAAATTGCGCCCTAAGATGTTAGGATCATTTTTTTTATTTGGAGGCTTCACCAGCTGCATCTACACCTCATAAAGTCTCTTCTGCAACTTAAAAGTAATTGCGACTGTAGAATGACTTCTTAGTCACGATCATACCATATAATCGTTTTTGTCGGACCTAGAGGTGTAAATTAAACCTTTCCATAATATAATATATCGAAGGCATATTTGTTGTAAATTATACATGCCTGATTAAATCAAAATCCTTCTCACACCTGATTGGACAAATTAATGATTGTTTTTAGTATCGGAATAGATCGAGGGAGTTTGTCGCATGACGTATTTTTAAGTGGTGTGTATTTTTCCGTGGTCGTCTGTACTTAAGCTATTAAGCTAGACAGCTTAAAAAAAAGAACGGTTTGCATTAGATGGTCACAGGTATCAAACTATACAGCTTTGCTCTAAACGTCAAGAATATGTTTGCTAAATCAGTACAAGCGTCGATCACTTTTACAAGGGTATTTATTGAACCAGGGTTGGAGGATGCGCTTAGCTTACAGTCGCCGAACAGCTCGCTCATGCTCAATTCGCAGCGATCTCGGAGGTAGGACAAGAAGCCGGACGCTTAGCTCGCGTAACATGAATGGGGGGGGGGCTGAATTGGCTTGCAAGCTGCACTCCAAGACCAGGCAGTGTTTTTTTTTAATGATGTAAGCGTATAGTAACGGATATTACTTGTGTATTTGAAATGACAATAGTTCTCGGCTGATACAGGACACTTTTCTCGCATTACATGAATGGAAAAAGTAACTAGCGAGGGGGGGGGGGGTAAGTAACCAGGCAGTCGTTGGTAATTGACATGAAGTAAGCGTATAATAACGGATATTAATTGTGTATTTGAAGAGCCAGATCTTCAGTCCCCGGTTAATACTGGACGCTTAGCCTGCGTAACATAAATTTACTGGGCATTTAATTGCAGAATCACGCCCCCTTTTTTTCTTTTCACTACAGTACAGTATTGGACTTCCCTCAAATGTTGTATTGGTCTACCGAATGAAACTTTTTCCTCATAGCGCTACCAGCCTCTAGTATCAGGCATGTCTGCAGGGGGTATTTTAAAAATCGTGCCCTTTGAAAAGAGGAAAACAAAATTCAATATAATTGCCACCCCGGGTACTGCGTATAGATAAAGTACAGAACACCCTTTATCTTTTTCTGAAGTACCCCTTGAAAACGAAGGAAAATTTACCAGGAATCAAAGCAGATGTAGGTTGTTATTAGATATTACCTTGTGATGTGCAAAAGGGCCTGGTGCACATACCTGCATATCACTTACTACACCATTTCATCCCAGAGGACCGATTCAATACAACCACCTCCTAGCCGACCTGTGCATAGGGCTGGACAAGCCTTAGTTCAAATTTACTTCCAGCACTTTTAAAAAAAACCAGTGTGCCTTTTTTTTTCTTGGACCACTTGGGTACGGATCAACTTTTGTCATTTTTGCTTCGAGAACTTTCGAGAACGCAATGTCGCCCTTTAAAGGACATAAGTGGTCCAAGAAAACCAAGGCACACTGGTTTTTTTTAATACTGCTGGTGGTAAATTTGAACTGAGGCCTGTCCAGCCCTATGCACAGGTCGGCCAGGAGGTGGTTGTATTGAATCCGTCCTCTGGGGTGGACGGACCTGAAATGGTGTATTAACTAGCCGAGCGCCGCCGCTACGCGGCGGTAGTTTAGGTTTATTTCTAGTTGTTTTGGCATTCCCGCCCCCGCTACGCTTCGGCGGGTTAAGTATTATAAGAAGCTAGCCCCCCCTTTGCGCCTTGATATTTTTAATTTCATTAAGTAAACTGGGTCAGCATCTTACCTGATTAAAACCAACTATTCTAATAATCCTGAATCAAGATTCCTACTATTAATACAACCTCTTTATTATTGTTGGGTATCACTGTATCTTCTTCTTCCATTCAAAATCACCTGCACTTCGAATAACATTTATAGAAACGCTACACAATTTGTTTAGTTTAGAGTCGTGCTCGAAACCACGGGCCGTTTCTGAGCCATGAAACTTAGCTCACATCAACGCAAAAGATAGAAAAGGCGTGTTCAGCTTACACTACTTACCCGCTTGTACTGCATGTTTAATCTTGTAAGTAGCTAAAGATTGATCACTTCTCATTCCAAACTCAATGAGAAAACCAAAACGTATTCATTTTGTACCTTTTAAAACATTTAGCGCTCATTTTGTGCTGATTCATAATGAGTCATTAGACACTCTAATCTGAGCCAATTATGATTAAAGCATCTGGATAATGCGTCGCAAGACGCCTTGCTATTGTTATTGTTGACGGCGGTGTTTTTTTTTTATTTGATAGCTTAACGACGATTCCAGGATGGTTAAATGTCATTTAGGCTCCAAGTTTATAAACGTTTTTTATATAATCTACTTAGCCAACTATAATTAACACCTCTCGTGTTTTGTTGTTGTCTTACCGCTCCATTTAAAATCGTATCCTACGCCCTTGTCGGCGACACGTCCGCTAGTTAAGTTGTATCGGATTTTGCTGTCTAAACAGCTTTAAGAAAAAATGATTTACAGCAGTAACACATATGGGTTCATCTAAAAATTTATGGATCAAATGACAACGTTTATTAGCACAGCGCTGTTCTTACGGCCAGCTTCTGTTGTACATGTACTACTTTTTGTCAGTTACAGATATTTTCTTAATATTTCTACAACAAAACAGTTGTAGTTTTTCTTCTAGTCATTGTTTCTTGCAGAAACTATTAAAAGCATACTATTACGTAAATTATTAGTATGGCCTCGAAAACACACATTCCTACGTGTACGCTAAGCCCCTTGCAGCATACAGTAGGAATCGTCTTTAGGGGCTATTTCATTTGAGAACTCGAATATTAAAGCAACATGCAATATTAAAATAGTAAATTTAATATTCGCAGTATTAAAACGATGCCACCTTCGGATAATGGATAGTCTTGTGCAAATCTCCATATGTGCTCTGTGAACCACATAAATTTACAGATGTAAGCTACATAATTCAGTTTTAACCAATTGGAGCTGCCTTCGCTCCGCTCGACAGTCAATGATAAAGCTCAAAAACCTGAGCGTTTCGTGTGACGGACGGACAGACACCGTGCTAGCATTGATACCTTAGAATGCCGTTGCAGTCTCTATTGGAGATGTTTTAGCACATCAAAATGGCAAATCTCGTGCAATCTCCCTACCACTGCGTCGCCGCGTCAGAGTGCGTTCCCTGTCAGCCCAATTTGCATAGGACTGAAACAGTACTAGAGTAAGAGCCTTAGCAGTTAGGACTTAGTCAGACCCACGCGTTTTTCGCGGGGCTGTCGTGTTCTGGATTTGAGATTAATATTGATGGCGTCGCATCCAGGTTGAAGGTAGCGATAATGTGACTTGGCACTATCACGTCAAGCGCGGTGACAGTGGACATTGAAAATCTCGATGCACCAGGCGTTTGCACAGTTAAGGGACTGCCGCTCGCTTGTGGTACTGTTGAAGCTATTACTATGCATCAGCAGAGGTAATTTGTTTGATCTTGTTCTTCGTTTTGACTTTGAATGAAGGTCTGGTCATACAGATCGGTGCATCTCCAAAGAGGGTTCAAAGCCCAAACCACTTTCGCACCGATTACACGGGGGTGATCCAAGATGACAGGGCCGATTAAGTAAACTTGTATGGATCGCCAAAAAAAACTGGAACTGAAAGGACTGACTACAGTATAAGGGGTCGGCGGAGATTGCCTTTAGAATGAAAATACTCTCCGATATCGTGGAGGGCAAGATCGACAGATTAAGGCCTCTATTGACGAATAGTGAGGCCGAATTTGATGACAACCAGCTGGTCATCATGAAGCTTATCGAACGACCGTTGCTAGTGGCCATTTTTCACCAGATTTGCGCCACGGGGTCGGACATGTGACATGCGTTGTGTGTTAGCTACCCGGGAAGATCAATCGGACGACCATGGTTCATGGAGAGGAGGAATCCGACAAAAACTAGCGCTGCCGAAGTAGGCCCAAGGTGGGAACATCAACAAGCACCTAGGTATGAGGTCCAATTTGCGGGCGGAGTTACTACCGGTATCGAACCACCAACCTTATGCTTGTAAAGCGGGTGCTCTCGGCTGGGCCATACGGAATTCTTACTCTCAGCAGCCTGGCTGTCCGTGGTATGAGAATCGCATGGCGATCATGCGCACGATGGTGCTTGAAGAATGCACGGGGATACGCTGCAGAAATAAAAGCACGATAAGCTCTTGGAGTCG